TAAATTACCTATTACTTAATGCTTAGTTAATGTTGCTTCCATATTAGTTAATAGTATTAACTTCGGTGTTAATGCAGTACTACCTATTACTTCCTGCATAGCTACTTGTTAACTACTGACCATTATTTTAAAGTGTTACCCATTTGAATTCAAATTATTCGGTAATGCTTTCATTTACAGTACAGTACAGTACTTATGTGCACTTACCTAGAAAGTACTGGCTAATATAAGGTAAGTACATGGGTTAGGGGTAGGTTCAGAGTTAGTACCTAATTATTACCCAGTAATTGTAATTACTATAATAATTACATAGTATGTACATGGGTAACAGAACTGTAAAAGGAAGCGTTACCGATGATTCAGTGACTCACTCATGACATCACTTGTTTCATTACTGGATGGATGAGTGATTTTGAATAAATTATTCAATGACAAATACATGTTTAACAGTCAAAACATGGTGTATAAATGTAGTGATACAATCTTTTATTTAAATCATCAAGTTACTTTCAAAAGATCAGTTTTTATATCTGAATTATAAACTTTCTTCTGTGATAATTTGAATTACTGTAACAAAGAAATAATGATACTGTTTGGTTGAAAATACTATTTGTAAAGCTTTTTCATACCTATAGTACATTAAAACTGCTGTCTCATGGTTCAGGGGCAGCGCCAAAGCAGATTTGAATGTTCGCTGTGATCGCACTCGTCAAAAATAGACAGAGCCGAATTACTGTCATTTAGGAATAGGATCGTGTGGGTGTTTGAATCTTGATTGCGATCTTTTAATGATTAATCTTGCAATTATATTGCGCAATGTTTTTGTGCTTAATTCTTATCACTTTCGTTGGCTATTGAGTGGATAAAAGATATAAATACCTCTCAGTTCCCTAAAAAAAATCGTATCAATTTAAACTGGAATGCCGTGCCTTTTAAATTTCCTCCCCAGACTCTGTCCCCCGCTTTACCCCCCATTCCACCCCTAAGTTTATGGTCATTGAATGGCTTTTCCGAGGTAGATATAACATTAAGTGACATTGAATCTGTTTTATTGACGTCTTTTCATGGTCAGGACATTTTCACAAGACAAAGTGAGGTCACGGCACACATTAGGTGAGGTCAGAGGTCAAAATATACACTCTCAGAGGACAGATCACACTCTCTGTGAGGCTAGAGGTGACAACACACACTTTGTGAGGTTAGAGGTCAAAACATATTCAGTAGGGTCTAAGGTGTAAACTTTGGAAATGTCAAAATACACTGTGAGGTCAGAACACAAATAGGAAGGTTATATTTCATAAGACGCAGTGACATCACAGTACACATTTGGTGAGGTCAGAGGTCAAAAAATACACTCAGTGAGGTTAAAAGTCAGAGCAGAGCACACTCTCTGTGAAATTAGAGGTAATAGAACACCCTTGATGTCAGAGGTGAAACTGCACACTTTGAGATGTCAGAGGTCAAAACATATTCACTAGGGTCAGAAGTCACAAAAGCTGTGTCTGAAATCGCTCCCTCTCCACTATATAGTGCACTATATCGGGTGTCGGCCATTTTGTAGTGGTGTCCGAATTCTGAGTGAACGACATCATTCCCTACATTCATTCACTACTTTTACCCACAATCCTCTCTGAATTCGAGTGTACATTCGATGTACACTCGCTGAAGCCCTATTTCCCACAATCCAATGCGGAGAGAACTGAGTGCGTATGAAAGTGCGGCGCGAGCAAGTTTAAACCAGAGATTACATTACATCCAGTGGAGGAATTGAAAAATATCCGTTAATCGTCGTTAGGAAGCGTATTCATTTGAATATAATAACGGTCGCCGGAGGGCGCTCAACGACACGTCATCTGTGAATGTGAGAATTACAATTTCAGTCGATGAAACTACAAAGCTGGCACGGAGGTATATATATAATTACAAAATAAAGTCATTATGATTGTTATTGTTAATATTATTTTATAAAGTAGGTAATGTAAGATAAAAGGAGTTTTATCAGTGCGCGTGACGAAGCCTTTTCTGCGACAGCTCCATCTCTCCGACGCACAGTGTAAACGTCAGCGTCCGAATTCACTCACTTCATCTCGTTCACTCCTTGCAGATATAGTGCACTCAAATACCATACACTATATAGGGATTAGTGAATGAGTGAACGTGTGAGCGGTTTCAGACACAGCTAAAATGTACTCTGAGGTTAGAGGTTAAAACACTCTCAGTCAGGTAAGAGATCAACACACTCTTTAAGGTGAGAGGTCAAACAATCTCTGTAAGGTCAGGTGTCAGAATTCCATATGAAGGTAAAATGATGGCAATACATACTGTAATCACACAATTACATATGATCACTTACATAATCACAGATTGTAAGTGTAAATTCAAATTTGTAGAGGTGTTTCAAGCGCATAAAAATGTTTTCAGCATTGCAGCATCGTTTGCAGCGTCTGTCTTTTAGCTGCGCTTACGGCACGATTCATTTCAATTAAATTCAGAAAGCTTTTTTTTTGGCATGACAAAAAAAAAAAATATATATATATATATATATATATATATATATACATTTTGTATTGCCAAAGCATTAACCCTCAGGTGCTCTTCATTTCAGAGTCACACTTGTTATCTTCCCGGTCAAAAGTGACCGGACACCTAAAAATGAAACTTTCTCCATGCCAGTAAAACCAATGCAATTTATTTTTGTTCTATAATATTTATTCTTTTTAATTTAGTATTTTGAGACAATTTAAATGAATTTATTAATATTTATGCAATATTTATGGTTTATTTTTGCCATAGAAAAATATATATTATTTTCTATATATATATTATTTGCTTCAAAAAAATATTAATGCAGTATTTTAGTTTAATATAGAGTCTAGGCCTTCAGAAAAAAAATATTTTTTGAAGAAAATTAGCACCATCTGGTTACAGTATAGAGAAAAAGCGTAGAATCATCGTGTAACCACTTGATGGCATGTACAGCTCTCTATTGAGAGACATGTGAATTCCCCAGCTGTTTATGAACACATTTTTGTTGTTGTTGTTGTTGGTGGATTTGTATATATAGTTGAAACAATCTCAAAAACTATTTCTTATAAAAAAAAATGACAAAAAACAAATATTCACAATTTTTTTTTCTTTTTTTTTTTTTTTACAATTTCCCATTCATTTCCTATGGGGTCATTTTTGACCAAAGACCACAAGTGTGACTATTTTTTTAAGACCACTTAGCATGCTCAGATCATGACCTCAATTTTTTTGTGTGTTCACATACATAATGCCATAAAAGTCACCAAGTTTCGTAACATCGCGATGAAGCTGTGATTTTTTAAAATTCAAAACATACTTTTTGTAATCAAAATTTATTGGTGTGTATGTGTGTATAAAAGTGTGTTTGTATGTGTGTGTGTGTGTGTTGGTGGGTGTGTCTGTTTTGCACTCTAGATGTTGTAGAGTGTCACCCCTTTCTTGCGGTGTACTTTTTTTTTTAGAATTGTGGCCGATTTGTAGATTGTACATACAAAAATTCAGAGATTTTTTTTTTTTGTATCAATTTCCCATTCATTTCCTATGGGTTGTCATTTTTGACAGAAGAGCAAAAGTGTGGCTAATTTTTTTACGACCACTTAAATTGCTCGAATCATGACCTCAATTTTTTTGTGTGTTCACATACCCAATGCCATAAAAGTCACCAAGTTTCGTAATTTTCTGAAGAAGCTGTGATTTTTAAATATTCAAAACAGATTTCTTTAATCACAATTTATTGGTGTTTTTGTGTATAAAAGTGTGTATGTGTGTGCGTAGGGGTGGGTATGTCTGTTTTGCACTCTTGATGTTTTACAGTGTCACCCCTTCAATGCTGAGCACTTTTTTTCTGCATCGTGGCCGATTTGTAGATTGTACACACAAAAATTCTCAAAGTTTTTGTGTTTTTGTCAATTTCCCATTCATTTCCTATGGTCGGTCATTTTTGACCGAAGAGCACAAGTGTGACTATTTTTTTTACGACCACTTAGCATGCTCGGATCATGACCTCAATTTTTTTGTGTGTTCACATACCCAATGGAATAAAAGTCACCAAGTTTCGTAACATTCCGATGAAGCTCTGATTTTTAACATTTCAAAACATAAATTTTTTCGGTCAGAAATGACCGAAGAGCACCTGAGGGTTAAAACAACATATAAAATGATTTAGAGTAACTGAACATTTCAGTTTTGATATGAGTAACATCTCAATGAACCTAATTAAAACCTAACCTAATTTGAATGGCTACAGGAAGAAGGACCTGCCTTCTTCCTCACCTTGCAAAACTCAGTGAGTGAGTGACAGAATTGTGCAAAAACTGTATATTCACAGCTTAAGGAAAGACAGAACTACATATTGGGTTATTTTTGGGAACTTTTTTGCCCTACGTACACAAGAAGTCATTTAGACATTTGCAAAAGTTTTTTTTTACACACATTTTGGTTGTACTCAGCCAATCTGTTTTACGGTTCTTAAACTATTTTTTTCGCTTGCTAATCGCTGTTCACAGGCTTGCAATTCTCTTGGTCGTATTTCACCAAACAAAAATGTAAGCATGGACAAATGTCAGAAGAATACAGATCATGTTTATTTTGCGTTAGCATGATGCTGCAATTTCACAATACATGAATTACAGTTATGAATAACCATTTTTTCTTACGCTTTAAACTCAATATACACCTTTACAAAGCTTCTCTTGCACTTGTGATTCTTTAAGGCATCATTTTACCTTTATGGTAGTCAAAAAAACACACTGGTGAGTTCAGAGCACACACTCACGAAGGTCAGAAGTCAAACACTCTGCAAGCTCTGTCCCAGCTTTGACTGTCAGTTGATGTGTTGTTAGTGTATGTGCCTTTATGGAGTCTGATGTCAGTCTACTGTCTGCTGGTCCTGTCTCACATCACTGTACTGTTGTCTCTTCTCTTTCTTTCTTTCTTTCTTTCTTTCTCTTTTTGTTCGTCTCTTGACTGTGAAGTTGAGCCCTTGTGAAGTGGAGGATGACAGCAAACTGTCGGTAAGTATTGTCCATGTGTATGTGTCTGTGCATTTGTCCATTTAGGATAGTTTGTGCTGTGATACAGGGGCACCGTTCTTTATATTTATATAAAATATAAAATGTGTCTACCCCCCAACCCCCAGCGGTGCCCCTGTAATAAAGTAAAGCATGATGCTTGCATAATGAACTCATTGTTCCACAATAGAAAAAAACACTGCCTTCTGACAGATAGATAGATAGATAGATAGATGATAAGATGATAGATAGATAGATCGATCGATCGATAGATAGACAGATAGATAGATAGTTCCCTGATCCTCACAGCAATTTACTAATTTACTAATGTTTGTTTCAGCACAACACACACATACTCACACACTCCTGACACCTGTATGCTTGTGTTAACCATCAGCTGACTCTTCTGATTGCACTGACATGTTGCCCTTAACCCTTCCCCCCAATCACCCTGACCAGTCAGGAAATCCAGCCTCAGTGTACATGAGGGAAATCATTGTTGTGTCCATGATGATGGGAAAAATAGGCATGAAACTTACACATTTACCCAAGTTATTATATGCATGTTTAACCGAAGCTATTTTGGGTGGGGTTGTCCCATCCCCAATGTCCCTTCTCTTTCTTTTACGGCCCTGACGAGAACATCGATCTCCTCGGCTGTGAACCGATTGTGAAGTGCGTCTGGTAAATGCGCCGTTAAAATAGAATTGCGCCATGGAAAAAGCGCACCTCGTTCTTCACGCTCTTAAAGGGAATGTGATATGATGCTCTTATTGGTTTATTTCCGTTACGCCCAAACCACACCTATGAATAATGAAGCTACTCCAGACCAACCCCTTTTAGATTTGCGCCGGGCGCAAGAGGCATTAATCCCGCCGGGAAAATAGCAACAGCGCCGGGATCCGCCCACAAAGTTACTTGCGCTTTGCGCTTTGACACTTGCGTTTCAGATCGTTAAAATAGGGCCCATGGTCTCTATGGTGGCCATGCTGTCACTCTGAAGCCTTTATTGTGATGTCAAGTCACCTTTTTTTATATAGCGCTTTATACAATAAAGATTGTTTCAAAGCAGCTTTACAGTGAAAATGATTCAATGATGAAAACAGAGTTCATTTCAGCTGTACAGCAGCTCTAAAGAAAAATAGTGTCATTGTTCAGTGCAGTGTTGATTCAGTTCTTTTGTAAAGATCATTATATTAAATTATTATTATTATTATTATATTAAATTACTATCAATTATTTTTTTAATTAATTTAATCTATGAAGTAGTTCTGTAGAAAATGTCTCAGGTTACGACTGTAATCTATGTTCCCTGAGAACAGGGAACGAGACACTCCGTCAAAGCACTAGGGGAAACGCCTCAGCGGGACTAATGACTGAAACACTGTATAATCACAACAACCTTGTTGGCTGGACGTCATGACGGAAAGGAGGCCTAACACCTGTAGTAGGACAGCTAGCTTGACTACCACCAGAGCTCAGGGAGCGAGAGTCCTAAAACAGCTCCTCAGAGAGGAACCATTTCTCAAGCTCTACCTGAAGGGCTATTTACATGGAGGCCTCAGCAGAATGACTCTCCTAAGGGAGAGGAGGCCTACCATACCCTTTAAAAACCAGCCAGGTCTAACTAGCGTAACACAGAGCTGCGGAAGCGAAGGGTGTAAAATTTAACTCTCTGAATTAAGAGAGAGGCTTCTTCCCGATGCAGAGACCAAATCTATCTGCTCGGAACTCTGGAGGATGGAGGCCTCAGCATGACAACGGAAGCCTAAGACAACCTTATGTGCATTTTAGAAATATGGCCGCTGGAGACGTACTCAGCCTGATGACCCTAAACTTAAGGGGAGTACTGGAGTCTGCATTTGAGGTGACCTGGCCGCATAAGGGAGGCTAACACTGGGAGCCTGTCATCCTAACATACCTGCCTACTGGGAGTATAGAGGCCCAAGCTTTGTGAGGGCCTGCTAGAACTCGACCTGAGGTGAAGTACACTGCATAATGACCCAAGGAACCAAGGGAGTACTAGGCTTACTCTGTGCTATCTGAGAGATGGAGCACTCTAACAAAAACACCCTTGCTAACTAGTCTCGAATTTAGAGACATACTGCCTCACAGGGCTATGGGGAGCAGGAGCCTTAACAAAGAGACTCTAAGAAGAGGAGGCCTGCCATACTCACACCCAAGTGGTCTTAATCCTCTGGGGTCTACGTTTTTGGGGTCCTTGAGATGTTTTGACATGCCTTGACATTTGTGCTTTTTTCAGTTGCTTATAAACCATTTTAATGGCAGAGGTGAAATTACACTCTATTTAGCACGAACAGGGCTACCATAATATTTGAGCAACATTTATATACATGTTTCTATTTTTGAGAAAATATTGTTTATGCATGGATATTGAAAAAACAAAAAATTAAGGTTTCTGAAAACTTTATTTAAAACTTTTAATTTTATCTGAAAATCATTGTGCCTAATCATTCACATAAAACAATATATTGTTTTAAATTGTGAAAAAACATTTTTTTTTTGTTTGTTTGGAAAGGCAATATGCGGTTTGGGCATATAATGTGGTCACATTAGCAAAATTTTGTCCATTGTCAGCAAAGTTTTGTCCATTGCCATTGACTACTGCAATGCTCTTCTTGGTGGGTTCCCTAAAACCACACTTTACCAATTAGAAAATTGGTAACAGGAGAAATGAACACATCACTTTAATTTTGAAGTCCTTCCACTGGCTCACAGTCAGTTTGATTTTAAAATCCTTACACATACTCATACTCATATAATACATTGCATGGTTTGGGTCTTCAGTATCTATCTGTGCTTTTAACTTTATCTACTCCCTAGCTTAATTTGTGCTCCTGCCAAGCTGGTCTTTTGGCTGTTCCACAGACACGTTTGCAATCTGTAGGGGACAGGGCTTTTTCATCCTATGCTCCTAGACTCTGGAACACACTTTATTCTCGTATTAGGAATTTACAGAATTTGTGCATTTTTAAATCTCATCTAAAAACACACTCTTTGTATTTTTATCTGTTTTATTGTGTAAATTGCCTTGATAATCTTCTCTAAAGGTGCAATATAAAGTAAAGGTTATTATTATATTATACTCAGTGATGTCACTGATGTTTCTCCTCCTATCACAGGCCAAGCCAAGGCTGCAGAGAGGAGGAAGCTCAGCCTCTTTACACAACAGCCTAATGAGGAACAGCATCTTTCAGCTGATGATCCACACACTTGACCCTCTCAGTGAAGGTAAAACACACACACACACACACACACACACACACACACACACACACACACTCTATGTCCACTACATTAATTGAAAATAGAATCATGCTCTAAATTTCAAAATTATTTACAGTAAACAAGTGATTCCCTAACTATCTAACTGGGGGGGGGGGGGGGGGGTACTAGATAGATAGTAGATAGATAGATAGATAGATAGATAGATAGATAGATAGATAGATAGATAGATAGATAGATAGATAGATAGATAGATAGATAGATAGATAGATAGATAGATAGATAGATAGATAGATAGTATCAATTTTAAGAGATATATGTTTCCCTATACTGTGAGAGCTGGTAATGTGATTTGCGACAGATATTTTTGTAGACTGTGTGTCATGGTTTGATGAAGTGCAGTAGTGTTACTGTGTGGCTTAGTGTGTCTGCTGATTTTGATGAGAGAAATTAAAGTCAAAGGTAAAGAGAATGTATAGAACTTTCATGTTACATAGGTAGGCTATTTTATTATGTAGTGTAAAGGTGTGGTCACACTAGCAAAATTTTGTCCATTGTTAATAGTGTAGCAATTTTTTGTAGCGAAGTAGATGTGTTCCCGTGGAGGCGATTGTATCATTGAGATGCTGTTATAGTTTTTAAGTAATATTTAAAATTAGTTTGTTTTGATTTACATTTCACTTAAAGTTTTTGTCATTTTTATTAGTTTATATATATATATATATATATATATATATATATATATATATTACTTTTTTCTTTAATTTTACTGATTTCAGATTTAGTTATTTTAGGACATCAATTTCAACTAAAATAAAATTAGAAGAGTTGAAGAGTTTATTTAGTAACCCTGTGCATTCACCTGTGTGATGTCAAGTTTGCAGCAGTATCAAGCAAGTATTTTTTGCATCTTGGTTTCAATAAATGTTCTTTTACATTTGTAAGTTATAAGTTCGGAAATTTACACTATGTTTGGTGTGGTAATATAATTTCCAATTTTATACAATGCATGTCATAACTTGTATCCCAGAAAATAACAGAGAAAAATGTTCCCACAAAAATGACACCAGTATCGACAACCAGAAGGCACCTAACACATTGTTCGCATGTGTTCACAGTCACATATGGGTTAGGTTGATAAATCACAGCGTTTGAGTTTTAAATCACACCCAAGATGAAAATTGGCAAAGTCGATGCAATCCAATGTTGTTTGGACCCTATTGACTTTCATTGCTTTAACCATAGACTGGCAAATTTGCTACATGCTTATGTACTGTAGATATGTAACAGTAAAGGAGACTAAAATGCTGACAACACGTTTTGTGCAGTACAGCGATTCTTTCTTTTAGGAGTCAATAACTTTATTTGTCGTGCACTTTGATCTTTAAAACTTTGCAGACATTTTACATTCACAAGCATACTGCATTAAAAGGTAATATATATATATATATATATATATATATATATATATATATATATATGAAGAGTTCAGATGCAAAAGCCTCTAAATGCCATTTGAAATTTTCTTTTTTAATGATGATTTTTATCAAACGTGTATATTTAAGTTCAGTAATTTCACTTAAATTGCATTGAGGATTACCTATTAATTGTCATTTAAGTGAAATTACTGAACTTGAACATATAAGCTTGATAAAAATGATCATTTTAGAAGAAAATTTCAAATGGCACTTAGAGGCTTTGCATCTGAACTCTTCATATATATATACATAACAGGCCCCTTAAAGAAATCGTATAGTTGCCTTCAACAAAAGCGTATACAATTGAATAACAATCTTGAAGGTCACAGCAGGTTTGTCTTTAAAAGTTTTCGTTATTTTTTTTTTTTATTTTTTTTTTTTGGAGAAAATGTATGTTTTTACTTTCAGAACCAGAACTGTTACACTCATAAGTTGGTGGCATTAGGGGGAGGGGCATTCTTATTTTAGAAAATATTTTGATTGGACCAAATGAGTGATTGCAGGATGAGTTTTCAATATTTTTGGTCATATTAATGCTTCATCAATATATGTGGATAAGCTCAAATCTAAAATACGAACTAAAAGCCACAGAACTGATATTTTGTATACTGACATTTGCTCTTAAATGAAGCCATTACATTTAAAAGAAAATCAATTACTTTTATTAAAAAAATTATGGGGATTTTAACAGTTGCACATCTCGTCATTTTATTCACTACATGGCTTTGCACTAGAGCTAATTACTGTTTTTCCTGCTTATTTTCTTTTTCATCTCTGTCTCACTCTCTCTCTCTCTCTCTCTTTCTGTTTTTCTCTGTCTGCGGTTTCCTCAGAATTTGCTGACTCTGGTGAGTTATTCTCTAAATCTCATTGTCATCACAGTCACAGCTGACCACCTACGTCACCCCAAAAACACACACAAACATTTGTCCCTGATTGTCCGTGCTGTTTGTAGTGCTGTTTATTCAATTTCCTCTCAGTATTCAGAGATGAATACTAGATACTGTTTGTTTCTTTAAAGTTTTCATGTGTGTTTTTGCTTGCTATAGCTCCATTTCTTGTAACCCATAACCTTAATATCTACATAACCCCATAGCAAAATGGACACATTTTGTGTTTCTCATTGACATATGTGTGTATGCATAATGACTTTTAACTGGTAATAATTCACAATGACCTTTAAATGTTATTATATGCATTTTTCTAGACACATAAATAAAAACTGAGATGATTAGGTTTATTTTAAATTTTTGACCCCCCCCCCCCACCCTATAGCCCTGTGTTTACAGTTTCTCCTTGTTTTTTTTAAGTTACTATAATCTAGTTTTTATTTAAAAAGTAGTTTTACAGATTATTATTAAATTAGTCAGATTACAGTTACCCACTTTATGATGCATTAAAGTGGTTACATTAAATGTGGTTTACGCATATTTCTCTCACAGGCAGAGACGCAAAATAGCAAGAAGTCTTTTTTGTTTCACATCTATTTATTTGTTTATTTATATAGCACTTTTCACAAAACAAATTGTTATATGCAAGGCAGCTTTACATTAAATCATAATGTTAATGTTTATAATATCTTAATGCCTTATACTTGCATTTAGCAGATTAGAGCTGTGCTTATAATATAGTTTAAAATTTGTGATGATATAAACAAACAGTTGAGATTTGCTATATATCGCCCTACGTGAGTATACTGTATGTATGTAAATACATTTGGATATAATAATATACATCACTTAATATTGTGTTATGCATTGTGTATGTTTCATGTCTCTGTCTGTGAGAATTAAAAAGAGACTTTAAGAAAACGTCCTGGGTTACGAATAGAACCATGGTTCCTGAGAAGGGGAACAAGATACTGCGTCCTAGGATGCTTTGGGGAATGCCTCAGTGTGACCAGTGTCTGAAGCATGTGTCTAAACATGATAATAAATAATAAATCATTGGCTGGCAACAGTCGTCACTACCGGTTCGGCCAGAGTATAAAAGGGTGCCTGTAGAACACGTCAACAATTTCTTTTGTCTGAAGGAGATGTCGTCAGCCATTCCCAAAGCATGACAACAGGATGTAGCATCTCGTTCCCCTTTTCAGGGAACCACTGTTACATCCGTAACCCGAGACATTGCCTTACTAATCGGAGCTTGCACTGCATCCTAAGATGTTTTGGGTAACGAATACCTACTCCGCCATGCTGAAGGAATGAATGCCATAACAGCTGACATAAAGTCAATGGCTCAACTGAGCTAGGTCCAAAGTCACAATTCCCTGTCTTAGATGGTACCCGCACCAGTGGCTATCTTGGGAGCTCATTGCCTGGTATTCTTCTGAATACCTTCCAAGGGAATATGGCCAAGGATAAACGGCCAAGGGGTATATGGCACTATACCCCTTATGAGTGGAGGTCTCAGGAAAACCACTCTCAAAACAAGAGGAGACCTAGCAACACTAAAAAAATATCAAGGAGGTTTGCAGAGAGCCAAACGACTCTCTTAGAGGAGACCTATGTTCTACGCCAAGTATGTCTTACCAAGGAGGCTCACAAAAGAGCCTGACAGCTCAATACTGCTGTCCAGGTGGAGCTCTGGGGGCGTAGACCTCGGCAAGAAGACTCTCTAAAGCAAGAGGGAGCCTATCATTTCCCGCCTTGAAGACAGTTATCAAGGGAGGCTCAAAAAGAACTTACAACCCAGTCCACTGCCTTCACAGAGCTCTCAGAACAAAGACTTCAGCATAACGACCCCCCATAGTGAGAGGAAACCTAAGTATGCTCTACCCTAAAACAGTGTCCTCCTCACCAGATGCGATAAGATTCCAGGGTCAAATATTTTTTCTGTCCACACTAGATGCGACGCGGATGTGAGATGCGTCGAAATCAATCAAAACCCACAGCCAATCAGAACAACGTGTGCGTGGGCGTCAGAGAGTAATCTTGACGGCAATCACAAGAAAATGGATAAGTAGGCTACACCATTTAAACTTTATTCAAATTACATTAGTTACTGAGTTACTAAACAATCTTAGTCAAATAATACACTTGTTTGTTCACAGTTTGGACATTCTTGTTTCCATTAATTTAATTTCAAGATCTGAGGTGAATTATCCATTGTTGTTTTTACAGCTACAAAGCTGGGAGTACTAAATGATATTCAAAGTCATATTGCATGCTTTAAACATTAAATAAAGCACATAAACAGTACCTGAGATTATCATTGGCACACTTTGTGTTTGTTGTTCCAGCCGCGACATCGCAGAAAAATATAAACCTTTTCTAAAATACAATCGTGTCGCTGTCGCGCCTGGTTAGGACAAAAACTCTGATTAACATGGAAAATATACCTTTTATCGCGCGTTGTGGTGTTGCATGTTGTTGGGACATGGTGTAACAGACCACCTTACCAAGGAGGTTCACATAGAGCCACACAACTTAGACATGTTATCTTATGCGAACCTATGGGGAGCGGAGGTCTCAGCATGACAACTCTCTAAATCAAGAGCAAACCAAGGAGGCCCGCAGAAGCTCTGAGCTCTAAGAATTGAGGCCAACGCTCTAAGCTAAGGACTACGTACCAAGGAGGCTCACAAAAGAGCCTGGCAACTCGATACTGCTATCCAAGCAGAGCTCTGGGGAGCAGAGGCCTCAGCAGGATGACTCTGTAGAGCGTGAGGAACTGTAACAACAATCCACCTTAATGACAGTTCAACCAAGGAGGCTCACAGAGAGCCACACCACTTGATGTCACTGTCTAGAAGAATGATTTGGTCTCTAGACTCTAGCACTCTCAGAGGTGCTGTACAACTGGAAGGGTTTGTCCAAGGCGAACAGATCACTTCCTGTTGGTGTCCAGACCCGTCTGTGGTCGGAAGATCACAAGTGCTAGCCATGCCATTATAAATGCTCAACTGAGACTCTCACAACAAAACCTATTCCATGATCTGAGTCTACAGCTTGTGAGGCAGCAACAGATACAACCACGTTCTGAGCCTCCACTCTGTCAGGAAAGAGACATTAACAAAACACAACATTCAGAGTTTTTGTCCCGCGAGAAAGTAACATCTACAGCATGCCACAAGTTTCCATGCGACAAAAGCGGATTGACCAAGTTCTGAGTTTCTGGCCCAGAGAGGCAGAAGACACATGCACAGAGACACATGCAACAAGGTTAAGCTCAGGAGAGCAAACCTTCACTTGAAGGTTCCGTGGTCTGTGTGTTCCAAATTAAGGACCTTCTGCACCTACTTAAGGGCCTTATCTGCGTGTTCCAGATTTTAGGACCATTGGGTGCTCAAGAGATCAGCATCCCACAGAGCTTCATGTTCAAAGTTGTTAAAACATATTCTAGCTCTTTTCCCTACTGCATTGTCTCACAGCACAACCAGTGGAAGACGTTGCTGCCCTCAGACTGCTCACTGGACCACATGGAACGTAAATGTCACTTTACCAAACCACTTTCCAGAGACCTTGGCATTGTTGTTTATTATCATTTTATGATTTTTCCATTTTCCATTAGAGGTAATATAGGTGATGCTAGATACTAACAAATAATCTTTCATTTATGTGTGTGATGCATAATAAGGTTATTCACCTTATTAGTTTCAAAGGAACAACAGTTTATCTTTCCATAAGATAGCGTAACTCTTCCATAGCCACACCCAACTTAATCACGTGTATTTTATGTGTCTTATGCACTTTATTCCTTTATCATTCTTGTTATTCATTCACTTAGTTATTCTTTTTTATCTTTTTTAATAAAATGAATATTATAAAACTTCTGTCTTCCTTGTAATGATACCAAAACATTGCTGGTTCCAAAAATATCTAAATTTGTGTTCCGAAAAAAATGAATAAAGGTCTTCCAGGTTTGGAACTACATGAGGGGTGAACTACATTTTTAGGTGAACTAACCCTTTAAGGATTCCACTTACACTCAACCATGAAGTTATTGCCTAAAGCTAGCTGGGACCACTTGGAAACAAATATCTCTGTTGGATCTCAAGACCCTAGACACTCCCGAAGGTGCCTTACGACAAAGAAGGGTTTGCAAACTGGGACGAAAAAAACTCTTCCTGTTGTGTTCTTGTGATCAAAAGAGCTCATCCCAGCGATTGGAGAACCCTGCTTTAAGACCTGACTTTAGGGGAAGGGTTCTGCTCTTCAGTCAAATCCGAGGAAAAATGGGCTCCATAGAGGTCCCTACTCACGGAGGTCCCTACAACTAGGAAGGGTTCGCAAACAAGGGTGACATAAAACAATTCCTGTTGGGTACCAGATATCACCATCACCGAGCACTGCTATTGTGCAATAAATAAAATAAATAAAAAATAAATACATCTCATAAGACACTCCCTTTGCTGTGCCCACCACCTCTGTGATCGAACCTGCCAGTCGAACCTGCTATGGCGGCCACGGGATCCAAACAGTGGTTGTCGGTGTGCTCTTCTCATCCCTCAAGAGAGAATAAACTTCAAAAGAGCTTATCAACCATATCATAAAGAGTTTGGTCAACTCCCCTGGGAGATAAACGTATTTCGCTCAAATGCCAAACTCTATCACTAATCAAGAATCATGGGTAGAACAGTCACAAACACCTTTGGCGCTCGTGCAAACTAACAACTATACCTCTGGTGAGAACAAAGATATAAAATGATGATCCATATATAAGGCGCTCCGGATTATAAGGAACACTGTCGTTTTTTGAGAAGATTAAAGGCTTTTAAGTGCACCTTATATGCAGAAAATACGCAAATTGAAAAGCGTATGTACTGCGCGCATCTCCCTCTGCTTGTAAACAGAAAGTTTTGCGATTCCAGCTATATCAGCACATCATCTTATACGGTAGGGGGCGG